TTTAAAGCAAGGATTAAAGTTTACTCCTACACCTATTAAACCTTATACATATGAAATTAGAGAAGTTTCTTTAGAAGTTTACCAGAAAAATTATGCTCGCTAATAGTTTTATAATAAGTAAGATCCTGACGATTCATTCATTTAGTAAATAAACACAGGTTCGCCCTACCATCAGATAGAAAGGCAGTATGAAAATTTTTTAAACAATTTCTAACTTACCGTTAGCAGCCACATCAACCGAAAGCACTACAACAACATCTAATGCCACCAAAAAAAGAACTAGAAGAGATTTAATCTCTGAACTCAGACGAAATTATCATTATAAAAGAAGCTGACAAAGGTCGAGCAGTTGTCATTATGAATACAAAATATTATAAGCAAATGACAAATTATTTTAAGAGGTATTGAATACTACGAATTACTCAAAAATGACCCTATGAATATCGAAAGAATATACAGTACCAACCTACTTTTAAATAAACATTATCATTGCCTTCGTGAGAAAGAATACAAATACCTAAGTAACTTTGAAATAGAACAGTCAATTTGACGGGTTGTCAAAAGTTTACAATACCGAATCAGTTAAACAAAACTGCGAATCTGCTTTCAACTCAACAGTAAATATCGGTGAAATAGACGACTTAAGATTGAGACGTCCTATTGCAGGCTCATCATGCCTTTCCAGCAGAATGAGCTACGTCATTGATATAATTTCAAACTGTTGCGAATGATACCTTACTAGTGTCTTATAATATGGAACATTTATAAAAATTCCACTCCAACATATGAACAACTCTTGGAATCGAAGCATATACTTGCTGGTTTGATAAATACAACGATGAAATACCGCAACGATTTTCAAAAGAATATATAAATTATATTTGAGTCACCTATTTTCATAATTGATAACAATACGTTTCAATTTAATGACGAATTTTATCGCCAAACAAAATAAACTGCTATGGGAACAAAGGTAGCTCCAACTTAGGCAACACTTACGATTGGCTACGTAAAACAAAGACTTCAAGGACAATTTAGATCAGAATTTGCAGATCAATTTCAATCAATATTGAAAAGATTCATTGATAAATGTTTCATAACAATGAAAAAGCCATGAACAAAATCGAAAGATGAGCTTGGCACACTGCATTATTTTCTTAATAACTTGTATAAATGTGTAAGATTCAACATAGATGTAATTGCGAAACATCTACCATTCCTCGACTGCATGAAATCTGTTATGAAAAATTGAAATACTATTAAAGCAAATCTGTTTTACGAGCCAACAGACAGCGAAACTTACCTGCTATTCGCATCATGCTATCCAAAACATAATAAAAGTCAGTATCACATTGTATCTAGCAAGACGTCTTTGGACCATAATTACTTTTTAACAAAAGCAATGGAACTCGAAGAATACCTTGTCAAACAAAAATACCCTAACACATTAAGGCTAGCATAGTAAAAAAAAAGTTATTAGATAGAAACGGCCTTATCAACGAAGTTAGGGCAAGAAACAAAAAAAAACACAATAGCTTTCATGTTTACTTTTACCCTAGAATTCCGGCAATCTTGGTAAAAATTAGACGTGAAATAGATATGTTAAAGACAGAATGTCAAATAAAAAATGTATTTATTTAGACAATTAAACAATAATTATAAGCAAACATCCACCACCTAAAAAAGAAAACTGTATCACTAGAGCAAAATTTGAAGAAAAAAAATGATATCTAAAGTTATTCGCTGTGACAGACCGAATTGTGCTCAATGCAGCTACCTTATGGAAAGAGAATATTATGTGATGCCAAAAATGTAATTGATTTCATTATTATACCCCCGAAACGAAATTGTTTTCTTTCCTTTTTTGGGGGAAGGGGTTTTGTGCGTATATAGGAATCACCCAGTGTCGGTCGGTCGGTCGGTCCAGTCGTCCGTTGCATTTTCTTTGTCCGGAGCATAACTTTAAAACCACTAGTTGGAATGCAATGCAACTTCATTCAATGGTCAAGCACAATAAAAGAATATGCAGTCAAAAGAACCATAACACTATCCAGAGAAATTAAAGAGTGATTGCCGTTTGTTACTTTTCCTTGTTGCAGAGCATAACATGAAATCTACTGGTTGGAATTCAATACAAGTTCGTGCAATGGTCAAGCATTTTGAAAGGAAATGCAGTGCACAAGAAACATAACTCCATCTTGAGTTATCGCAGAGTTATTGTCCTTCATTACTTTTTATTGGCCAGTGCATAACTTGAAAATAAATGAATGGAATTCAATGCAATTTCCTACAACGGTCAAGTGCAGTAAAATGAAGGGCAGTGCTCAAAAACCATAACTTTTTTGGACCTAATGACATAGTTATTGCCCTTTGTTACTTGTGGTCAATAATGGAAGGTCTGTAATATGTAATGAATAATAACATTGATAGTATGTAGTCATCTAATGATAGTATGTAGTCATCTCAAAATCACAATCATTAAATCTAGGATTGTGTTGTGCCAGTTGCTGTAGCAAAATAATGGCATCTGCTTAATGGATATGTCAACGGGAGGTTAAGTAAACCCTATTTTAAATTGGACACAACCGTCATTATTTAACCAGTTTATTTCTAATAGAACAATGTTACAGTCACAGCTCCAAGCTAAGAGAAACATTTAAATATTTAAGAAGACATTTTTCCTGCACTGAGAAGAATGGGCTTAATGGCTGAATGTGTATATGTTTTTTTCCAAACAAGATGGAGCAACTCATCTAGCTCTAACTCTAATTTAGACAGTTTGAGGATGGGTGATTGAAGTATATTTTATGAGAGTTTAAAGTTGCATACGTGCCTCCACATGAGCCAAAATATTTCCGATAAAACTTGAAAAAAATTGACTTAGATTTGTTTTCTGAAAACTCAATTTAAAAAAATATGAAAAATCAAGATTCCAGTTAAAATTTATATATACAATATGTGTGATGACTAACTGATTTTGCAGTATTTATTTCTATATTTCTACCGAGTGACTAAACTAACGCAGTAAGGATATTACTTTTGCATTTTTGAACTTCGTTTTTGTAATTTACGCGGATTGTAAGGGCCGTTTGCAATGTGTAATACTCTTTGCTCATCTCACAATATTGTACTTTGAAATACATTTTATAAATGTTCATGAAAATTAGCATGAATCTGGATGTAAGCTGCATTAAACAGAAATGTTTTAGGATGTAAGCTGCATTAAACAGAAATGTTTTAGAAAACAAAACCAACCAAACGAGTTGTAAAACAAAGCAACAGTTCATTTTGCTCGGATAGTTATCAATATGACGAAAAAAGAAAAGTATTTTCTTAAATAAAACAAAAACAGTTGTTGTTTAGAAAACCGAAAACAATCTGTTATCATACTTGATTAACTGAAAGCCAAAAACAAATCTGATCAACCGTATTCTATTTTTTCTCTGCTGTAGTTCCGTAGTCTCCAGGCTGTCTTTACGAACACATGATTACACTTTCATCACGATATTGGATGCCATAGGCAGTTCTTTTTAATTTTACTGAAAGATATTGTAATTCTTACAATTTCATGCTACAAGAATTCAGTTATTAAAGGTTTCTACATCATTCCTTTCTTCAGAATTAATTTTTTACAAGGATGGGTATTTACTTTTTTCCTTTTTTACAAGAAGTTATTGATTTTTATACCGACGTCTAGGGTCTTGTCAATTTCTCTAAAGCGATTGACAACACAAGTTGGGATTAGGAAATGAATTAACGTTTAATTTGTCTTTAATGTTGATTGATTAAATAAAACAGAAATTTACTTAAATGTACTTTAGTTGTAAAGTTGTAAATTGTATTAATATGTGTATGTTTTTTTTCTTTCTCTTTCTCTCTCTCTCTAAAATTAGACTTCTGTGCTCTCAAACCATCACAATAAATACTGAACGAGATTATCTGAGTTCTCACAGACTGTAAATAATCTTCACCAAACTATCGAACAGTCCGGCTGACATTGTCTTCGGATAATTGCAGTTTGATTGCGTTTAATCAGCCATATTACGGTACATTATTTGTTTTCCGGAGAATTTTATAGATGATAATTATTCGCGTTTCGTTTTCAATGTTTTTAGTGTTGTATATGTATTAAGCTGAAGTGTTATATATGTGAATATGTATTTGCGTTTTCTTTTTTTTTCTTTTTTTATGTATGAAATCTTACTTAACGGATATTCATACCAAACTTGTCTACCTTTTTTAAGTTTAGAAAAAAAGCTGCAGTTGTGTTGCAGTGATTTACAGTTTGAATACAGCAATATTATCTCATTTTATGAAAATTGTCCTATTTTATAAATATGTTGATTTGTTTTTTTTTAATTAAATTATTATTTATGGCTCTCAGGCTTGCAACAGTGTTCAAGTTTGAATTTCACGTTTGAATGAATATTATTAAAATGTTTCTTTTATAAGATAAATATTTTTCAGTGTATTTGATGTCATCATTCTATCATGTAACAATACGACTTCTAATATTTATATATTGATATGTCGTTTTTTTTTCTTTATTTACCGTGGAACATTTATCATTGAAGTTTTTCACTTAACAATAAATGCATCGGTGACATGTATAATTAGTTAAACATCCATTTAAACACGAAACGTTTACAATCTTAAAGAAACTATCGTCAAGTTGAATCTTTATAGAAATTTTAAATAAATATTTTGATGTAAATTTTGATTAGGTGATTTAGAATCAGTTATCGGATATTTCTCTTACAAAGTCTGAGGAGAAAAATTTAATTAAATTCTACGGAAAAATGTTAGACAATTTTACGGCTGGTGAGATATCATATTCAAGATCATCCAATTTCTTAAGAAGCCTCTTTCATAGTCGGGGATGTTTCGTATAAAAGTTTCCAATGTACTTTTAAGATAATTAGCATTAAAACGTCATAACAATACACCAAAAGTGTGCTAATGCCGTTTTTTTACGTTCCTTAACATTTATATCCATTTGATACTCTGTGCAAATAATCCTTTTAAAAGTGTTTTGCTTTCGCTTCTTCACAGAAATATAAATATATAACTTTCATACTGCAAGAAGTCGAAATGAGATATTAAAAATGCTTCATATTGCCGTTGGACATGCAAGTAACAAACAGGAAATCATTTTGAAAGATTAGATCCAACAATAAATTGAGGAAGATAAAAGAGATTAACACGTTTTTGCTTCATGTATTTTTTTAATTAAGCAATTTTGTTATATCAGCAGCCTCAGTCGGTGGTTGTCCGATGTCGACCATCACATGTGTAAATAATTTAGTGTTGTTAACAAACATAAGTGTGTAGTCTAATGTATTTAGTCCATCTCGATGATAACGCTTTTTAACTGTTTTCAGCAAATATGATCTGAAAAAAGTATTTATAATCATTAAAAAGTGTAACATAATATTGTTTCAATATATGCAGAAAAAGTCTAACTCGGCGAAATATTTTTACTATATAGAAAATTCAGTGACATTTTGCATGTTACACATATAACGATAATACATAGTTTGTAAGCAATGACATGTTTAATCCTTTTCCGCTACGCAGAAAGGGGATTATAGAAGAGCCCGTTTCCGTCTGTCTGTCCATCCGTAACACTGTGGTGTCCGCTCTTTAACTTTTATTCTCTGATTTTTTTAAAAAATAACTTGGCACAAGTAATCACCATAATAAGCCGATGTGCAAAGCGCAATAATTGGGTTGCAACTCCCAAGGTCAAGGTAACCCTTAAAGGTCAAATGTTTTAAAGTCTTCATTTCATAATAAAAAGTCTACATTTCGTGTCCGCTCCATGAAAATGTTTTGAATTAACTTGGGACAAGTGATCGACGTGCAGAGAGCAATAATTTGGTTGCTACCCCCAAGGTCAAGGTCACACTTAACGTCTAAATTTCATGTCCGCTTAATAACTCTTAAACCTCTGAAATTTCTTTTTTTAATAACCTGACAAAAATGTTCACCATTATGAAACGATGTGCAGAGCGCAATAATTGGGTTGCTACCCACATGGTCAAGGTTACACTTAAATGTCAAGTGTTAAAAGTCTACATTTTGTGTTCGCTCCTTAACTTTAAAACCGCTGAAAATTTTTTATTTCTTAATAACTTGACACAAGTGATCACCATTATGAGATGATGTGCAGAGCGCAGTAATTGAATTGCTACTTCCAAGGTCAAAGTCACACTTACAGGCAAATGTAAGAAAGTCTACATTTCGTGGCTGTCCATAACATTTAAACCGCTGCAATGTTTTTTAAGTTAACTTGGCAGAAATGATCAACATTATGACACCATTAGCAGAGTACAATAATCAAATCATAACACTGAAGGTCAAGGTCACCCTTAAAGGTCTAATGTAAAAAAATCTATTTTTCATGTCAGTTCTATATATTATTGGCAATTCTAAGGTTTTAAAATTACTTGGCACAAATGATCTCCACCATGACAAAATATGCAGAGCTCAACATCCAGTTTGCTACCTCAAGGTCAAGGTTATATGTTCTCCATAACTTTTGACTTTATGGAAGATTTTAAATAACTTGGCACAAATAATCACCATCGTGAGATTATGTGCTAATGATATGCATGGCACAACATAAAGGTCATGGTTGGTAAAAAGGTCAAGAAAAACACATTCATATTCTCTGCGGAAGGGGATGTAGCTGTCTTTCAGACTGCCTTCTTTAAAACTTGATTCACATGCTTTAAGTTGATATTGTAAAAGAAAAAAAACTATTGCTTTCAGGCGTACGACATTCAACGTAGTTACAACGTCATTAATAAAGGCTATTACAGAAATATGTCTTTGATATTCTGTTAAGTTAAAAAATATATTTCTAAAACTGGCGAGCCGTGTCACTTATTTGATCAAGTACCTCATTTTGACAGGCGATGTCTCTCTGGTAGCATGTCGGATCATCTTGTATCTCCCAATGTTAGCTGGCGGTCTTTCTATCTTTAAATTTGATGACTTTAACCTATAAACAGTAGGTTTACATACAAGATACAGCAATCGTGTTTTTGCACATCTTTATACTTTCGTGTCAGAGGGAAAAAATAAAACTGCATAGCAAATAATAATAAAGTTTTCATCAGCCCATTTATTTTCGAATTCAGTCATAAAATGTACATATTATATTTTTTATACCTAATAAATGTAACAGAAAGGTTCAATATTAAGTGTTTTTAAGATGTGTTCTGGCATTGCAGCAATGATACTGAAATAAATGTATAATAGTGTACCTTAGTGCCATGTCATCGTCTTCAGCTCCCCAGCCCCAATATAAGTTCGAATAACCATTCACCTTTAGAAACTGATCACGTTTTATACTAAATACGCCCCCGACCAACGTCATATAAGGCAATCTGAAAACATTTTAGTAAATTCAAACCTTATGCATGCGGTAACGGTTTGTTTTCTGTTGATAAGAAATGGAGGGTTTGTCTAACGTGGAATAAAACAGAGTAACTTCTCCATACTCCTTATATTGACGGCTGTATCAGTTAAAAGAATTGTATTCTCGGCAAAATTATGCATGTTTCCCAAATATGTTAAATGAAAAAAGTTTACGGTCTTGTAGTGAATGTTTGTTTATTACTATCCATGTTTTTTTTATTTTGAATAGTATTTTTGTTTGTTTATGTCTATTTCTTGTGTTTTAATGTAAGTACTTACTGTACTTATTTTTTGTTGTACCTTTTACCCTCGCTTTACATTGATTAGAACCCTGCATAAGCATTAGATTCCACCGCCAAAAAAAAATATTGACTGTTTAGATTCAACATTTATATTTTAATAAAAGATATATGGGAAAATATCTGGAAAAAAGTAATTCTTTCTAACATACTAAATCAAAGTACATGTATTTAGAACACCTTAACATAAATAAGAAGGAAAAGTAAAATAAATATGGCATTGATTATATCAATTTGCATATAACATTTCTGTAAAAAAAAGTCACAGTACTTATTTTTACAAATGCCCATCAACGATGTACATTTCATAATGTGTGCTTACTGAAATGCGGCTATAACACTATAAAATAATATCTTGATATAAAATAATCTTAGATCACTATTTACAATAATAGCATTTTGTAAAATACTTATTAAATGTTAAACAAGTTTGTAAATAAATTTATACAAATGATAAACCATTAATAATTGTCTTTTAATGTAAAATCGCTTGGTTTCGAAAACATTTACTTATTATTATTAAATAAACCAGTAGTATTTCATTAAAGTGTCCAAAAATGTATATGCTGACGTGCGAAGTTATTTGCAAATAAGTACTTTATAAAGACTTGATCAAATAAATGTCAGAATGAAAAATAAAAGATATTCAATGAAAAACAAAAATTAAAAAATTTAAATGTTCAGGTTTGGACATCTAGAGTGACATTTGATATCAAAATTTCAAAGTTTGTTTGACAAAAAAAATAAAAATAACACCCTGAAAAAAACATTAGAGCATCCCATATTTAAAATTGCAAAATGATTTACTTAAAAGTTTATTTGCAGAAACGATCAAAGTTATCAAATTAAAAAAAGAAAGAAAATAAGGTGAGTCTTATGCTCATAAAGCGTGCAAGGATAAGCCCACTGAGTCTGATGAAAGCTTCTTTCGGAAACAAAATACTTGAAATGTATTAATCTGTAAACATTTTTTAAAACTGCAATTTTATTCTTATAGAAGATTTCAACATTTTCAATCCCAACACTTTTGATGAAAATCATTCTAACAAAAATTTAAACATTTAGTCTCCGTTGAGTATAATTCTGATTCAATGTTTTGAGACGCAATGCTTTATGAAAACATGACAGAATCATCAACCAAAAATGACAAATTACATACATTGTATATATATTATTCATTGAGTGAGAAACATCAATTGCCTCATTATCAATAATTAATACAAAATATATAGAGATATCGTAAAATGTACATAAATGAGAATAGTGTTTAATTTGCAAACAGTGTAAAATCTAATTCAGTAATCTAATTCAGTAAACAGTTTGAATAAGAAAAATCATTCTTCTTACTGAAGATTACTTATTTAGTTTCGTCTGTCAGCGTCATATTGCTATCCGCTGTCAGTCAGAGACATTATTCGTTTCCGCCCTGCCGGACACCCTATTCAAATGTTATTAGCGATTACTTGATAGAGGCGTATTGGGAATAACAGTATTGATGAAATGTCAACGTTATTGACGTGCTATTTTCTTAATTCCATTCTAATATGTTTATATATTTCTATCAAAATTAATGTTGTATTCTTATTGCGAATTTCAAGTTTACTTACATATGCATATAATGTTAAATGATTTTCAACGGTATCGTTCTCATGTGCACATATACGCACATAGATTGCGTTAGATCTTTGCTTTTCCATAGACCATTTTCCATTATAAGGGATTTGAAAAATTATAATTTTTATGATGTCAAATTGAACAAAAACAATTACTAATTTAGAGTAGCAATTGTTTATTCTATACATTTACTTACCTGTAATTAAATTTATCAACTGAAATAGACATATGTCGTGGTGATAGTCCACATGTGTACATGTTTTTATCATTTTCCGGCAACAAATCAACGTCATGAAATATGACACAATCGAACGTCCATAGTTTCCATGCCTCCATGAATCCTGCATTCATTACCCGACCTTTGTTAAATGTTAAATTTCCAGACTGAAATAAAATGGAAAATGAACGCGAGTCATTTAAGATTATTTTAAGTGTATTAGTCTACAAAAAATGTACACATTTTCTAAAAGTATTTGAAATATGATACAATAGAAATGTATCATTTCGATATTCCTTATAATATATGCCTTGATATAAACGTAATAAAAGTGATTTAGTATGAATAGTTATATGTTGAAATATAATAATATATTTTTAACGTATTTTATTTTCTTGTTATATTTAGATATGTTATATCAAACCATATATCCCTAACATCAACTGCATCCATATATTAAAGATCCTGTAACTCAAATTTTTATGGTTTTATATCATAAATACAATGCTCCAATGAGGATTTATCAATATCGTATGTTCCAAAAAGCATTATTTGTAAAGATATTACCGAATTTACATTTCATGTTAATAAAGGGAGGTTATTTAAATTTTATTTTCTATAAAGTTTAAGTCAAATTTTTCAATTAGAAATAAATTCATATATTTTAATGGTTACATATAATGTACACATATTTGTGGTACATATTTAACATATTCTTTGTTGTTTAAATATTGTTTTAGAAGCATAGTTATAAACATATATAAACTTTCTTTCTTAAGTGTGGTAACAACCTTAATTACAATATACAGGATCTTTAATACTTTGGTGTTTGGCTTTTATGTTTGATACTTAATTCTATCAATATATGTATTAAAATGATTTATTGCACTAATTCACTTTCATGCAAACGTGGGTGGAATAATCAATCAAATGATTAAATAGAGGATATTTGTTTAGTTCAGTGTAAGATCGGAATATATTTCACCGAGTGAGCACCAAAGGTATATTTCACGAGTGGCGAAGCCACGAGTGAAATATGAACTTTTGGTGTTCACAAGGTGAAATATATTACGATCTTACACTAAACTAAACAAATTTTCTTTTTATTATATGCAAAGAAACGTTTTAAAAAGACATTAAACCTAATACTGAATGAAAAGCGCGCCAAATAATAATACAATGTGACGTCATTTACGACGTCACGTCATTAAGTTGGTACCCGGTACTGTGCACGCTGGTATTTCACTGAAACAACGTAAGGGGCTTAAATTCAAAACAGTGAAATTATCAAAGTGGTAATTTCACTGTTTCAAACAGTGAAATTACCAGTTTTATATCACTGATATATTTCTATAAACCACCGAAAAGAATGTAATAAATGTGATTCTTACCAACTTACTTATTTAAATGCTATTTTAACTCAATAATAGTAAGTTTCTAATTAGCAACGGAAATATATATATATGTGTTAAAGCAGAATGCTTCCAGATTCATGCTTATTTTCATGAGCTTTTTGAAAATACATTTTAAAGTATAATGTTAGGGTGAACATAGAAAGTAATTTTCACATTGCAAATGCCACTTACAATCCACGTGAATTATCAAAAAGGGATAAAAATATGCAAAACAAATAGCTCGTGCAGCATATGTCACGCAGTAGAAATATGGAAATAATAACAGTAAATCAGTAATTTATCTCACACAAGATGTAAATTAATCCTTGTATCTTACTTTCTTAAAGTACTCTTTTCTCAAAGTTGAATTGGCTCATCTGAAGGCGTGTAGCTTTAAAGGATTTACTACAAAACAGTAGCGAAACATTTTTCATGCAAAGAAATCCACCATAACTCATGATACATTTTAATCATACAACTGAAAAATAATATAATCTTAAATAACAAACTGCCTAACAACATTTACCTATTACAGCGTATATTATACGTGCTTGCACAGATCTATCATCATTCAAGAAATCATTTACCTGTTCTATCACAAAAATTCTGAATTCCAAAAGTTGTCGCATTAAAACGGGTATAAGATAATGTAATAAAGTGTGTAGATGCATTTTCCTGCCTCGATATGGCACAATTATTGATATTCGTTGTCTTGCAATACATGTCATTGGTTTCCAAAGTCCACCAGATTGCACTTCAGAAAATTCTATTTCATCTAAAAGATGATCAGGAACCCTCGATGAAATCGATATTTTACCCTCTGAAGAAAAAAACAAAACAACATACAATTACTCATTCATATAAGAACATTTGTATTCATTGATATTACGGAATGGCTAATCAATATTTCTGAACCGAAATGTCTGTTTAAATCAAATTACTTAAAAACGCTAGGAAATGTTCAATAAAGGAAATAACGAGGACCGTTTAGTACATAACTGTACATGTAACATTGTCCCGAATGATTTGTGAGAGAGTAAATCATGATATAAGTTCGTATGTCCTGTACTTTCGTTTATAAACTACAAGATCAAGATAAAGTGACTAATATGTCGCATTTCCATTGTCTTTTTTTACTTAACTATTAACCGACATTTTATACATACATTGTAGACAAATTGAACACACAGAAGAATATTGTCAATATTCATCTATTTATCTGAGATTGTATATCCAAATAAGTATAGAAATTGGGTAAAGGAAGATGCAAAAAAGTGTATTAAACATAGATCGGAATGCAACATAACTCGTATAAATGTATATAAATCAAATATTTAAATTTCTAAATTTCTTTTGCAATTTAATATTTTGACAAAATTGAATTGTAAAAATACTTTTTTGTTTGTGTCTTTGTTTTTTTTGTAGTGATCAGTCAATATTTAAAAAATGGAATGGCTATTTATATCAAGTTATGTATATAAACATATCAACGAATTATTAAATCCTTTGTCTATGAGTAAGAGTAATGAGTAAGATTAATTCAGATAAATTATGTGTTTTCTTACCTAAATGTTTTGGTATTTCAGGACACTTTTCGCTAGAATTAGCTTTGCCAGTGCCAGCATTTTTATAAGTATTTTGCTTTATATAACTTTTATCAAGATCTTGTATATAATATTTCTTTTCTTCCCAGTCCGTATCAAACCAATTTTCACCCGACATGCTTTCTGCTTGCACAATTTTATTCGCATTCGTCTTCTTTAAAGTTCTTGTCATTTGTTTATAAAGTGCAGAATTAAAACGAGGAGTATAGTACTTTCGATAGACTTGAGATCCGTTGATAGGAATACCTGGAAAATCCTTTTCTACAGATTCATTTTTTAAACTAGCTTTAGCTCTTTGTGTCGGTTTATGACTAGATACTTCCAAAAATCTTAATTTCCTTTCCCGATAAACAGTATACGAAGTACCACTTAATTGTTTCTTTTCTCTTAATTCAGTTTTAACACAATTCAATTCAGCAATAAGTTGAGATATCCTTTCAGCATAAATTAACGCCTTTAACTGCTCCTCGTATGTTCTTGCTGGCAGAAATTCTTTTTTCGTCATCGCTTCTATGCTTCTTTCAATTTGTTGTAATAAAATCAACATTCCATTTGTAGTTTGCCTGTCTACTGTTCTATGTCCCCGGTGATTCTGTCGGTGAACAACTAAAATCTGAGATAGTGTCACCATTATAACTAGAATAACTGCTATAAGGTACATTGATCCTATAACATCTTTCCTTTTGAACATATTTTGGTAAGCATAGTTGAGGTTTCATGTTGTATCCTGCATGAATTTGTAATCTATCATATCAATATATCAAACTTGTTGTAAAAGCATCCTTTTCTCTCATAAGATAGTATTGCTGTTATGAAAAATGCTCTGATATACAGAAAGCTAAAGAATATCATTTAAATAATTCAAATAAAGATTAATGTAAAAGTGACGTTCCTGATTGATGTTGCAGTATTACCAATTAATATTCCATTCATAGTATTGTATAAGATATCTAAAAACTGGAGGCTCGTTTTTCCTTTAATCCTACGCAGTGTTCTAACATTTTCTTCAGAATCTTTGTATTATCGGAAAATTGTCCCTATCTAGCATGACCAGCAGTACGATTCCTTCTTTTCAATATTTCGTTTTGCCATAACAATATGACGTTTTCCTAGCAATGATATGCCAACTTAAATTTCAAACTAACTTTGTGCTTAAAAATAATTGAAACATGACTTGCGTCACTCAAGAATAGCAGCAATAAACATTGAAAATTAGTATAGTTTTGAAACATTTTATTTTCTTTCTAGTAAAATATTTCAGAAACGACTAAAATGATTTTGTCTGCACATAATTAATGTCGTATACAACACAAAGAAAATGACAATAAACCAATCAGTTACTATAGCATCTTAAGTTGAATAAATAAACGGCAAATGTCATGCAGAATTCACACAAAAATATTATAAACACTATCTTCAAATATCTGATTGATCTTATAATTGACCTTTGATATATAATTTATATTATTACCCCTCAATTTTTTCATAATGCTAATTTCCCATAGGCCTCTGGGAGTTATTTTTACTGTTAATGCAAGTGTACCACGTGACTTAAGAATTTTTGTTCTGTTACATACGTAACAGTATTTTTTTATCAGGTCACGTGGTCTATTTCCTAAATAAAATGAAATAAAATGGCCGCAATTTTTTTCTCGATTCATTCTTATTTTCAACGTTAAACCCCGATAGGACATTAATTTCTCCTCTGGAGTTACTATAAAACTCATAAAATTTAGTTGTTTGCACCCTGGTGTGCTTTTCGCGTATAAAATATCTTTTTGTTGAATAGTCAAAAAGTGAACATCCGTTTTCAACGGAAGTAATTACACGGTTATGATCTGTGAAATCTGATCCTTCTGTTTCCAGAATATTCTTAGCATGGTTTTTGACAAAATAACGATGATATCCTATGTCCACCATATCTGTAACGTTTCACTGATTAATTTTGTTAAATAATCCTTTGTTGCATGCTTAAATCGTCTACATGTTCCAGTTTGACACATAATTATTTACATTGCAAATGGGTTAGTGTTTTGTTTCCTTAATAAAACCTAGCTTATTGTATGTTTATGATTTGTAGATATCATCACTTGCTTAAAGAATAAAAGAAAAAGAAAACTTCTCAAGTAGGCCTACAGTAAAGTACACTTAAAACTTAAAAGGTAAGGACAGCTTAGTTATTGTTACTCTTGGTTTATTTTTGTTACAGTTAGATTTAGTTGACAATTTCAGATCATCTCAGTATTTTTGTTTGGGGTAATAAAATAAATAACACATGGGTTTGTGAGTAACAGTAAAAATATCATCCCTCGTAAAAATACTGTTTCCTCGGCTACGCCTCGGGTAACAGTATTTTCCTCGGGATGATATTTTTACTGTTACCCACAAACTCATGTGTTATTTATATACTGGTATTGCAGTAGCCGAGAGTAAAGACGATTATGACAAGTATTTGTTTAGTTTTACGGTGCACCTACATAGTTTAGGTCATATTGCTCCAAAACAGGAATTTTGATTTTTGTTAAATTCGGGTGTTACAAACCTTAAGCCGCCTGACCTGCTGTAGCTAAGAGATGCGTAGACTCCAATAATTTGATTCAATTTATTGCATGTATCAAAAGCAAACCATTTTAGCTGTGAAGACAATATGACACCAACTTAGCGGTTTTCTCTAATTAAGTTAACAAACAGTGGTCATGATTGCATAGACTAATTATTGGTCAAGAAAAGTAAGTGATCCAGACAGAATAATCTATCCTGTACCGGTATTCTGTAACCTTGAGATGTCTTTGCAAAGTTTGTAGTGAAGTATATGAAGAAATTCACTTTTATAACCAGGCTAAGCATTATTTTCTTATATTTAAAAAATGGGGATAATTTGATGCCACCCTTATTTCTGTATTAAAAAAATATGAGATTCATTCTCTAAAGTTGAAAATATAAGTTAGAAATGTTTTTTCAAAGTTTGTTTAGCACACATATTGATATCCATTGATTCATTTATTCACTGCACACATTCACACATATTTAGAATATACATTTGTAATTCATTTTATTTAACAGTGAACTCCGATAAGTATTTGCTACTTTTATTATAACCTTCTTTATTTGTAATATATTTTACAAATGGAATCTATAATAATGCTTTTTTAGATAATCGATTTTCGTGTGATGCAGTAAATTGTGCACGAGAATAGTCTCATATAAACCGTCAATTGTTATTCGTTTTTACGTTAGTTTTCAAAATAGTAATCGTAAGCGTGATTATGATGTTTTCAACATTTTTGCTACTGACGGTTCGAAGTAGGTGCAACCTGTGTTCCTTAAGTTATATGTCTCGTTTATTGTTAAATGTGTTCTTTTTCAAGATTATTTGTCTTTTTACGGACTTCATGAACTTCATTGTCACCAGTAAGTATTTCGGTAATTTCTTTACCTTTTTTCTCTAAAAAATGTCCGTATGTGATTCATGTGTCAGGCTTTTACTTTCTTTAATTGTTCTTAAGATTTTTTTTATTTAAGAGTAAAACAAATTAATTTGCAGTATCATACTGGTATGTTACCACCTCGAGTCATTTTGGGTATACGACCAATATGTACTATACTTTTGAGTTTTTTGAACACGAGATATTTATACTTTTCAAGACACCATTTGTTTGTACTTACGAATTGCTCACAAAAATAGCAATTTTGTAATTCACACAAGTAACACCATCAAAACAAAGGTGCGAAAGGTAACTGATTTTAACTTCCAATCTTAATCAAAGACGAGCAATTGTATTACACCCAACTGCAATTTAGATTAATGAAAAATGATGTACATCTGTACTATAGATTTTTATGCATTTATTCAAGAACAATATTTTTAATATATAAAGCTAATTACTTTGATTTTGTAGATTGAAGAAGGTAAAGTTATTATACACTACTTGTAAATAGTAAAATCCGACGCATACAAAACAAATCATCTACATTGTTTTCGTTCATGACTTGCCGATATTGTCCAGATTTCATGTTTGTCACGATTTTTGTGATCGATTTTACGACCTCTTGAGGCGGAATTAAATTAATTCCAGGGACAGAAATAGGCAGAAATGGAGATGTTAGAAAATTAGTTAATTATAACAGAGGACAGAAAAGGAATAGCAATAGCTTTCCTCGATACTAAACAACAAACTTATACGAGTAATGAAAATTTATCATTGAACTTGCTCGTTATATGGCTTGGATAGTGATTTAGGCTCTGCAAATTCTTAGATATTGCTTTCCAATGTCTCAAGAGAATACAAAAGTAATGAAATGTGAAAGAAATTCAAAATTATAAATCATATAGTAAAAATGGTTAGAGAAATTTCAAAAGTATTCATAATGTAATTAAAATCGTCATCAAGAAAACATATTGTTTTTTGGGTTTTTTATTGTTATCTATAAAATAGTTTTTGTTTGATATTACGGTCTAAGTGTGACGGGCAGTCGCTAGACAGACAGGCAGACCAAAGGAAGGACGAACGTCAGCGGAAATAAGGGAGGGCATATAGTATTTATTGATTTATTGAATCTTTTATTTGAATTGCTAATTTTAATTATATGAGTTTCTGTGCAACACCATGCATTTTCTCTGCTCCCTATTCCTTATTTGAGAATTTCCCTTCAACAATTTTCGATTATCCTAGTAAATTCTAATAAATATAAATAAAAGATACCAGGGAGACCTTTATGTTTATGTTTGTTCAAGTATTAACCCAGTCTGCCTCGTTTATCCCCAGCCGTTTCGGATGCCGTTGATTCAGTATATCATGGGACTGTAAATGGTGCTCTCCTTTGATTTTAAACCTTATACTTTAGATATTGAATACCGATTAAGCCGGTAAAATTGATGAAAAAGATGTTGCATTTTTTTATAAGCTCTAAAACCGAGTCAGCAATTTAACTATCTGTTTTTGTTTCATTTTTTTTTTTGCTTTTGGAGTTCTCCCTTTTGACGAGTGATGTAACTACATCCCTGTGCTGTTCTTTATTTTTATGGATTTTAAAGGATAATTGATTCCAATATTATAAGAATTGAAAACAACTTTGGCCATTGCTATTGAACTTTAGAAATCTTGCATTCTCTGTTAAATTTTAAAATTTTGTTTTGTTTTAATTGACTTTTCTTTTTCTTTTCTCTTTCCATTTCTTTTTATTGTAAAACGTTTTAATGTGAATGCCATTTTGACACATACACATTATCCTGCTATTGTCAGTATTATATGGTTATACGTGCAGAATAAAGCCCTGTCGGACATATGGACTTTGTAGCATCTTTGCGACGAAAACTTTTATATTCATTATGTTAAATTGAATAAATATAAACAATGAAATAGTATCGTTAAAAAATGGACTGCATACTTTGTTTTTTGTTTGTTTCATTTTACGCCTTTTCCAAACAGTATTTCAGTCAAATAGGCGGGTAGTTTCCTAACTACCGTTCCTGGAGAGTAACACTAGTACCAGACTACCTTCCTCCGCGCTAAACTGCCAAAGCATCTCCTTGGGATCGAACCCACGCCTGAGAGGTAACTGGATTAGAAGTCATCGACTCTAACCCCTCGACCACGGAGGACTGCATACAGTCTGGTTTCAAATAAATGGATATATTCATACCAGGAAACTTTCAATATATAATTATGGAAATCACGCTCTAGTATGATAGGTTTTAACTTCTCTGAACCTGACATTTGGTTGTTGTTACATTTCATTGAAAAATTATTAGCAATTAACGACAAATCCACGAAACTTTCCTTTTGATCCTGTGAAAAAAGTTTTTTTTATTGATCATTATTGTGCATCAGCTTTGCTTGTCCCGTGTGGCAGTGTATTCATGTGTAGATGGTCACGTAGAAGAACACCTCCGTCCGTGAATAGGCTTAATCAAACCGAGCCTGATAATCTTTCAACTTTGCCGTGCTACGCCTTTTTTTCAGATTTCA